AAGACAACTATGTGTACGAGTGCTCCAATTTGGAGTTCAATGGAAGCCTAATACATACAAGTTTAAGGTGATCAAACAGATTTTACAAAAGCTTCAGGACCCAGCTCCCTTAGGCTGCTTTGAAAGGTGGCAACTTAAAAAGCAGGAGAATTATTCAGATCTCTCCAGCCCTCCCTGCAGTTACTCACAGAAGTCCAGTTTGTTGCACAGAACACCAAACTCTTTCATGCTATTTTTCCAACTATTCAGAAAAAGTTATATCCTTTCAGTAGCCCTTCAATTTTTATGGTCGTGGAAATGTCCAAGAGGCAAGAATTTTTTGTGGCATCTTTTATTGGACCAACTGTATAGTTGGGAGAGCTACTGGACAAGCTTGTGGGCACTGAGGGCCTTTGTCAGGTTCTGTGAGGCCCAAAAAACTAGTCCAGCACCTCTCAACTATACAGCTAGTCCAATAAAAGATATCACAAAAAGTTCTTCTGTGTTTTTTTCCTCACAATTTAAAAACAAATGAATTCATAACATGCTTCTGACATATAGTGCTGATAAATGCTTTTCAGTTCATTGTTACACCAACTCCTCTGCAAGGTTATTTTGCTCCCAATGCACTTGACATTTATTAGCCCAAAAGCTCAGTGCAACTAAAGCATTGAGTTGCAGGAGTTTTCCATCAGAGCAGTTCTGTACACAAATATGCCAACACAGGAGAGAGCGTCAGTATACTGGGAACCTATTTGCATTGCTGGTCACCTACCCCTGTCTTGTTCTGCAAATTGTACTTTTGTTAGGTTTTAATTAAAAATGGGATCATCACTGGTTGGTAACTTAAAAAATAGCTCTGTGTGGAACTAAATATGATCTTTTTGTTATATTGGAGGTGCTTGTTAACCTGGAGACTATACCGTATCTATTTACTTAAGCAACTATGCAGTTTTATATACAGTTTTATTCAGATTCTTCAATCTTCCATTTGTATTACTTGGTGAACAACATTTATTTAGTAGGGTTTTTTTAACAGATGATTTGTGTCACGCTGTATTTGAATGGCAAATAGAATTCAATAAAAATAAACCCAATAGTTTTTTAAAATTAAATAAAACTACTTTACATGTGATGGCTACACAAAAACTAAAATTTAATAAAAACAGGCGCTGCATTTAAACTCATTTATTAAAACACAGGAAGTATAAACTGCAGGTTAGTGGCTGGAACTGATGGTGACTAGAAACAATGTCCTAGATTTTAGAACCAGTCTATCTAATCCTCACACCTTATTTTTATTCATAGATTGGAAGGAGGAAAGAATGGTTTCCTGCTTTTTCAACTCTCAATTGGTTTCTTAACTGAATGAGCTTGTCATAGAACTAAAGTAGTTGAATAAACTGAAGTGAAAGAAATAAGTCTCTGCACCTGGAGAAATGACTATTGCTGCCAAACCTGTCTTATCACTTAACACACACTGACTCCAGATGTTTAGCCAGTAATTTGGCTTTCTTTAGAAGCTTAGCAAACCACATACTTCCTGAATATTTTTAAATTACTGTAATTGGTTATAATGAATTGAAATCCTAGATTATGGCCTACATTTCAAACTGGTTTATTATTTAAAAGAAAAATAGATTGAAAGTGCGATTAAAAAACCTCAAGCACTGCACTGATTATTTTCCATGCTGGATCTTACTAATTGATTTTAATTAGAATTTCCCATTTTAAAAGGCGCACACTAAAATCCCAGTGCAACTGTTCAGAAATAGGCGGTTACTGGAAACAGTAATATGCATGTTCAGTGAATCAGGATTGGTATAGATAACACCATTCTTACCTAGCTCAAGCTTACTAAAATGCAGATACATACTTTCTTCTAAAAACAATTTTGAAAATGAAATTTACTCAGACCACTATGTCAAGAGCTAGAAAGTACAGGGTAGAGCACTTCCCACTCAGGTTCTCAGCCAGTCTATATAGTATGTCAACGTGACCCAGATTATTTGATACTGGCATAAAACACACACAAAGGTCTCCAAGGCGCATTCAGCTCTAGCCACAGGTGACATTTCATTATGGGCAATTCATCTGATAAAAGTTACAGGGTGAGAACACAGAATGGTATAGCTACTATCATTATTTTTTTTTTGGAGAGCGCTATACAGCTACAGTACAGCTACATCTCAGGCACTAAATCCCTGGGTTTTCATCAGTCAGTTGTATTTTTATCCCTAGATTATTCATTAGGGAAGGATTAGAGGTTTAGATGGCCTCAGGAGAAACAATCATCTACGTGAGAGAGACCGAGAGAAATTTCACAAGGATTCATAATTTAATTGCTGACATTTCTTCCCCTATCCATCCCACCAGTGTTAAGTATGCCTACTGATTTTGTATTCAGTTCATCTCCCTAGAATACTTGCATTAAAAGAATGTAATTCCTTAAAAAAAACCAAAAGAAACACACTCCTCACACACATTATGCCACTGCTCTCTCCCACTAGGCTTCTAAAACATCAAGCAATTTAATATCACTTCTTTTTGGAGTTTGCCTTTCATTCATTTGATCCTGAGCCATCCTACTCCTCAACCTTCCCAGAACAGTTGCACACGTGAAAAGACCCAGATAGCCAGGCAGATGAAAGTCTTTTGTTTTCCATTGCTGGCAACAGCAATATGGACCTTTCCCCAAACCGTCTCAGAGCACCCACCTGTGAAGCTGGGCGTGTCCATCAGATTAAAGCTTGCATGTTCCGTGGCTTCCCTAATGTGAGTTGGCTACTGCCAAGCCAAGACTGGACTTTAATTAGTGGGTGAGCACAGTCAACTAAAAGTTTAAAACCCGATAAAAGCCCCAGAGGTTCCCAATTCCCCTCTCCACACCTCCATACTTCAAAAGAAAAAAGCCATAGACTGCTCATTCCAAATAAAGGTAACATCTGTGGAGGGTCTACAGCTGATTACTTCTGGGCAAGGAAGAAAACTACCCTCTTCCTGTCCTTTTGATTTAATGGAACTTCAAACACCTGGCAGTGGGGACAACAACATGAAGAATATTCCATTTCCAAATGCCAGGCCTCCCATTTCTTATTGCATTGTTTTGGTATTGAGTACCATATACGGCAGCACAGACTTACAGAAATTAGTTGTGAAGAACTTTTCCTTTTACAGTCAAGTAGCTTCCATAAAGAGCTGGGCACTGTAAAATAACAAATTGTAGGACGCAGCTAATGTCACAGTACTGTCTGGCCCCACTTGGAGTGAGTTATTTCACTTACATAGCTGGCAAGATCTGACATGACAGATTTTAACACTAGGTTGGTTTTTGTGTATTAAAAAGTGTTATTTTTGCATTCTGTTAAAGTGACAAAAAACTATAGAAAGTAGAAAAATTCTTCCAAGCACATGCACTACCATGAATGCCACTTTCATTTACATAGCACTTATCCTTCTCTAGATTTCAAAGGGCTAATCTACACCTAAAAGTTAAAGCAGGGTACGATTTTAAAGCATAAAGCATAGTTATTCCTGAATAACTCCAGTGTGGGTACTCTTATTCCAGAATCAGAGTGCCTTCTATAGTTCAAATCATTTTGGTAATGGGTTAGGCCAAATCAGAACAAGGCTTTCTTACTTCACAGTAAGATCATCCACACATGGTATTATTCAGGCTCTCCCTACACATGCAGGTATTGGATCTAATGCATGATCCACCAAATTGCACACAATCACGTACGTGTGGCAGGAGGTGCAACTGTGGGATCACGCATCAGATCCTATCGCGCCTTACTGCTGTCATAGCAGGAGACCAATCCTGGACTCCCCCTGCATTGGCAAGCAGCAGGAACCCACAACTGGGAAACCCTCTTTGCTAAGGGAGCTCCCAGGTGCAGGAATCACACAGACGAGATTCAGAACCCCGTCAGCTACAGGGTGTCTGGGTCCCAGCTGCAAGTGAGGCACAGCTGGGACTAAGAGCCCCGTCAGCTGCAGGACTCTTAGTCCCAGCTGTGGGCAAGGCACAGCAGGGACCAAAAGCCCATGTGGGCTCGGGGGCTTCTTGCTCCCTCGAGCCTTTGGGATCACGTTAGCCACAATCCCAAGGGCTTGGGGGTTATGCCCCTATGGCTGGGAACCCCATCAGCTGATGGGCTCCCAGCCATAAGGGAGACCCAGAATTTTTTTCTGCAATTGCTCAGTTGTTCTAATAAAAGGTATCAGTTCTAAACCAACAGTTCTAGATTTTTGCATTTCTTTTTGCCTCAGATTAACACAGCTACAAAATTCATCCCTCAAAAATGTATGCACTCTGCTCAACCAAAGGGGGCCTAGCCTCTCTCTTACATAACAACACACTAAGGGCATTCAGCAAACTGTTGGTGCCCAAGGAACTACTTCTGCGGGGCAGTTCCTACTCCAAGAGGAACTGTCCCTTCCCATCTTCAGCAAAGCAGCTGCCCATTTCCTCCCTCCTCTTTAATCAGTAGAGGCCGAGGTCTCGGTTACCATCAGGTTCAAGGCCCCTTTGACCCAATTTTCTTCCCACTCATTCATTCCAATCCTTTTCAGGGGCAAGGCTACTTGCTCTGGCACCTTCACCCTCGACAGCATCCCATCCCTGCCTTCCCCTTTCTCACTGCTCAGTCAGAGATAAGTCTGCTGGCCTCCAACTCAGACACCAGAGGTACAGGCACAGTAAAGCACACCCTGGACAGCTTGCATAGGGAGTACCCTCTCCATCCTTGATTCACATGAGCAGCAGGTCTTGTACCCATCCTAAATGACTCCCCTTGGACCTATCTATGGACACCAGAGTCTTATTTTATCTTTAATAGTAGAACAAGTACTTTTTCACAGTCCACTGCTACTCATGAGCCAATGTAGCATTATAGATGAACTTATAGCCCCTATGCATTCCCCAGAAGGGGGTTTAGCTCTTACAGTATGAAACAACTAGCTCAGTGAACAGACTGTGCAAGGCAGACTTAGGGCAAACAATCCTTCATCCGTCTTACCCTTTGAGTAGCATGGTTGAGCATCTCTTGCCAGGCAGAGTCAAACTGACGTTTGTCATCCTCCAGCAACCTCTGCTCAGCAAGTGAAATGGTCTCCTTGGCAGCACGCAGCACTTCGGTAGCCCTCTGGAAATCTTGTGTCGCTTTCTGAGCTTCCAGTTGTGCCTAGACAAGAGACACTGCAGTCAAGCTTCAAGGAATATCTAGCATGACAGATTTTAAAGACAGCTTGGCACAGACTATTAAGAGAGACACTCTGGTGCATTTATATCCCATCCTTTCATTTGGCAGTGACACTCCACCCATTTCCTTGCCTGGGTCACTGCTGGTCAGCAAGCTGTTCACACCCAAACAGGGGCATCTGTAAAGCATTATCATGCTGTTCATTCCCAATAAACCTAAAATGCAAGGCATCAGAGCTTTGCGTAATACGCATGTGGTTGACAGATGGAGGAATACTGTATGCACTAATTTTAATCAGCTAGAAACAAAAGAGACAGGAGGAAAAAAAACACTCATTATTTCTGCTCACCATAGCTTCTTGTGGTGTTATACTTCATAAGTATGCACTGAAATCCGCAACACTGTGAGTTCAGAGTTTAAGTCAGTATATAACAAACCAAGCTAAAGAAGATTTTTGAGGTATTATGTTATCATGCAGCATAACACAGAGCTTTCTGGTGAGAAAGCTTACAAATTACTACTCCATATTTCTCTTCAACCCTGTAAAAACAAGGGTATAGTCAGCAGCTCAAATCCCCAGTCCACAGGTGGGAGGAGAGAAGAATGAAGCTAAACCAGCTGGTTCAAAAATGCAGTAGGTTATGGGGCACTGAACAAGTCTTCAGTGGAAATGGATCTGGCCTATTCTCCAACCCTGGGTCAGCTGTTCAAGCCCAAGGGATTCTCTTAACAACAGTGCTTGAAGTAATAGGACTTTAAGAGCTTCGATTAAATAACTGACCTAATAACAACCAGAATTCTAAATGCATGAGCAAGCACTGGCACAAAAAACGCTGCTCACATATGAGCCTTTGCAAGGCAATTTATAATACTTCAATATTACTAAATTCACAATGTAGTAATGAAAGTCCAAATCAGAAGCAACTTATCACAGAAGACATTTATCATCTGGGTTTTCATACTCCAGGGCAGGACACCTAGAAATCCACAGAGATGGAGCCCAATGAAAACATCTGAATTTCAACCCAAAATATCCGAGGACTCAAGAGATTCAGGATTTTAGTTTGGGACCCTCATTTTCACTGACCGAACAGTGACACTAAATGCCAATTGTCAACAAAACCAGACAAAAAAGAGGTACTGGATGACACAGCAACCAATTAAAAAAAGCTGCCAGTACCATTGCATATTCCTATAGCATCCAGTTAACAGATTAAAGGGATTATAAAGTCTACATATAAATGCACAGGCTGCTAAATAATTTAGTACCAATGATTTGTGTTCAAGGTTGCTGAGAGATGGCAGGTTTTAAGATTGACAGATAGATAAGAAATTAAAGGTACTGAACATTTTCATATTTTGAATGGAGCACTCATTTTTATGACCACCACTGAATCATTTCACCTAGCAGAGGTTATGATCTTAAGGTTTCCCAATTCAGTTTTTTTTTTTTTTTTTACTTCTTTCTGACCAGCTTCATTACCAGAACACTTTTCCCCCCAACCAACGAACATCCATTTACTACATAACAGTACAACCCTTTTTAAAGTAAGAAACCCACGATGAGTTATGTCATTTAACTGGAAGTCACACACTTTCCTACTATATAGTAAGTGTTTCCAACTCTTTTGCCTGGAAGATCTTTCAAATACCAAAAAATGCATTAGATGTACTTAATATTCAGTACCACTTCAATGTTTTTTTAAATGAAATTATCAGATGCAAGAGTAAATCTCTGCATTGACTAGATATAATAGAACAACCAGAAAAACATCTTTGAAAAGCATGGCATGGCGTGAGGTGTTTGATCCTAACAGAATGCAAAGGATTCTGGGACATGGGACACAAAGATTTCTGCTGCATGATATCCTATAAAGGAAATCATGGGTAGGTATTACAGACACAAAAGATGGTCACTTGGGAAAAAGACTAAAATTTCAGCTATAGAATATGAAATAAATAGAACAATGAGAATATTCTGAGACATCTGTCTGCAGCGTGTACTCAACACCAGCTGCATCGAGCACCTTCACTATTTAAACATGGGTCAGGAACAGACAACTTTTCAGAGCAAAAGAACCCATGCCAGATCAGAGGCAACAGGACAGGCAGGCACTAGGAGCTGGCCACCGTCAGCATTTGTCCCCATTGGAGAACGACCACAGTCAGTGGCTGCAGTGTGCAGAAAGTGCCCTCAGCCAACGCTCCACGCTGCTGAATCCTGCCAAAGCCCCGCATCCAGAAGCCAGATCCAGTGGTTCTGCAGGCTGTAGGTTGCTGACTCCTGGCACGGATGATTATAGAAGCAAAGTATCCTTAGAGCAAAAAATATTACCCGATTTAAAAAAAGAGTTTCTCAAAGTAGTAAAATACTGTTTCCTTCCCAACCTTCAAAAAATTCTGCAAGCTGTTTAGATTTCCTCCCCTTTATCATACATCAAAAATATATTTCAGCCTACAGCTACTCTGGACAAATATATTTGTGTTGGGAGTTCCTCCCTTACCCCAGGAGAAATCCAGGAACAATCACATCTTCAGCCACAACAATACCATATTATTATTTTTTCCAGCTTGGCTAGCTGCCATCTTGCCTGCACCTGCTCTCATGCTGGTGTCCAGAAAAGAAAGGAGCCATAGGTAAATAAAAAGAAGAGACTTCCAGAAGTCAGGAAAGCAACAACAAGCCTCTGCGAAAAGTGCCGTCCCCTGCCCAAATGTTTCTACTTAGAAGATATCGTGTAGTGTGCTTGGCTGTCTGGCCGGAGCATGGGGAAGCACGCTGCCACACAAGACTGCTCTACAAGCTCCTTTACCAGTCCCTGCAAGGCAGTGATGGGTAACACTGCCTCCCCAAATGATGCACTTCTAATCAGGCAGCTGCTGCTCAGGGCCACATTGCTCTGCCTCCCAGCCCTCCTGCCCTGATTTCTCCAGCCCCAACAACCTTGCAGCCAGCAGGAACTTATTCCTCCTTCCCATCCATAACAGTCTATTCCAAGAAGTGGCAGTAGGTACTGACCTGACTGCAACCACAAACCTTTATGCACTCTCTACAACCAAGTCTGAATTTTCCAAACTCAGGTTCATTATTCTTGACCTCTTTTCTTCAGAAATTCTTACTCCATATTTTATTCCTTTTCCAGGTGCTCCTCCTCCTTGTGTGTTAAAGATTGGTGTGCTGCACTCCCTTCCTCTTTGCCAATTTACTCCCAAATTAAAAGACATCCCCAAAATAGTTCTGCTGGAGGACGCAGCTACTAGTCCTGGTACAACCCCCTCTTGACAAGTGACTGCTCTGCCATTTCAGCCAACACCCCCCACCCAGTATCACAAGAGACATCTCTTCCAGTTAATACACAATAATGACATTGCAGCAACTCCAAACCTAGACAGAGTGAATATATTAAAATTAAGCCAGCACATTCATTCCTTTTTCCCTTTCCTTCTATCAACACTCCCTTCTTTATTTTAGCCTGGTGAGCTACACAAGTCCACAAGCTGCTGAACCAATATTCATTTATACAGAGCCACAGTGCAGCACAGCTACAGCATTCCTTCAAGGTTAACAGACAGCTAAGAATACATTGTGACAGCTACTCCACCAAGCATCTGATCTCCAACTACATGTAGGGAATGAGTGGCAGGACTTGAGTTGCCAAGAGACGGCATAGAAAGTGCTCTGACTGTGCCAAGTCTGCTCACACTGGCTAGGGACAAACATTTAAAAAGCCAGAGCCCAAATTGATTCAATTTTTGCAGGTTAGTCTAACCTCTGTAGACTGAAGCAACTTGCAAGCGGACAGACGTCCACTTTTGACTCTGGAAAGGCAGACACATGCCTGCAGTAGCTCAAGCCAGAAGCCAGGGGGGTGCTAGAGTGAGTCCTTGGCTGCAGGGAAGCTATGCTGGGGTGGCCAGGCCTGGGCAAGCCCAAGTATGATTGGGGACAGGTTTAAACCCCCTCCCTGGCCTGCAGGGACCCCCACCCCCTGCCACTCTTAGTGGCAGCTGTAGAGCAAACTATCATAGAGGGCAAAGGTGAGGCACCTGTCGCCTGCTTGCAGCAGCACTGGGCACTTGGAGTGGGCTGCTGCACACAAGTCATGGGGCTGGGGGCTGGGCCAGACTAGGCTGCGGCAATCCATTGCCTCCCCCTGCCACTGCCCACAACCATGGCCCACAGAAGCCCTCCCCAAGCACCCAGGGCCACTGCGAGCAGGCAGCGGGTGACAGGTGTCTGACCTCTGCCCAGCTCTCAGCTTTGGACCCCAGCCAGGCTGTGCCTGGCACAGGGGATGGCAAGCCCACAATGGGGACTGTTTCCCACCCCCCACTGCCTCCTCAGCCAGCCTACCAGCTAAGCAGGAGGTGTGGGGGGAACAAATCGCCTACCCCGTGGCCAGTGGAGGGGGGAAGCTGGCAGTGGGGGCTTTACCCCCGACCCCCACCCCAGCTGGAAGCTGGGTCTATTCCACAGCAGAGGAAGGCATGACGGGAAACTGACCCTTATCTGACACCTTAGTCAGGAGGGATATGCGCCCCCCCCCCCAGCGACCAGGGTGGTCCCCGCATGGCCAGTCTCACCAACTGACGGGGGAAGTGTCCACGTTTCATCTGGCTTTCTCACTCCCCAGCTGGCCCTCCCACCTGCCCATCGCCTAAGCAGAGAGCTTGGCCTGTCAGGCGGTGGACCAGCGCACTCAGGGGGTGCACGTGCACCCCTTACGCATCACCACTGCATTTTGTTACAGGTTTATACCAGTTCCTGACCACTTAAACCAGTTTATGTGAAAGCCAAGGAGGAGAAAACCTAGCCACTGCCACAGGTTTTCTCCTCCTTGGCCAACTTCACTTATAAGAGGACTAAATGTGCAAACAGTTAGACAAAGTAACTGACTTCTCATTTAAGAGGTATCAACATTACTTGTACTCACCAGAATGTGCAGGACTTCATACATATAGCAACTGGCAAAATTATGGGG